GTGTGTTGTGTGTGTGTGTGTGTGTGTGTGTGCGTGCGTGCGTGCGTGCGTGCGTGCGTGCGTGCGTGCGTGCGTGCGTGTGTGTGTGTTTGTTGGTGTGTGTGTCTGTGTGTGTGATATGAATTTTGCCACTCACAAGCTCTTCGTCTTTCAAGGACGTCCGTGTGGCCAGTGTGTGGGCGAGTCCAGCTTTCCTGGATTGTATTATAGACTAGAAGCAAGAGACGAGAAAAATATACAAAAAGCATCAGTGATAAACATCCACAGAGGAAGAAAAACAAACAAGGTAACGAAAGTCAAACAACCCAGGAAATACATTTTCTGTGTGATGTGCTGCTCTTTTAACTTTGAAGGTTGTGGAAACCTTCAAAGTTAAAAGAGCAACACACACATACTTTTTTCTTCTGTCTTCGACACAGCTTTCGAAACACATTATTGACTCACTCCTTGAGGACAAACACCTACACCTTTTTGTCATTGATTTTGAATTACGGATGTTTTTTTGGCACAGCATTAAGTATTGAAGTGAGCAAAACTAAAAGGGTGATTTTATGCATTAAAAGAATAGTTTGACATTTGGGGGATATATGCAGGGCTGTACATAACTGGCTGATAGGGAGCTGATGCCTGAACCTTAGTTGGTTAAGCAGGCACAGAACCAGACTTGTAATTTTAGATTATCCTTTTTTTTTCATGCTTGATGTTTGGCTCTGTAGGGAAAGTTGTCAACTCAGTGGTTTTTAATCTTTCAAGTAATGTAATCCTGACAAAATGGACGTGTAACGTAACAGACATGCACATTTACAACAACAGTGTATAATGGAATTGCCCACTGCACCCATTTCAGTTTTCTGTGTGATGCTATGAGTGGATGTGGAGAAGTTTGCCAAAGTGCTGTAGCAGGATAGTTTGGAAAGCCTTTGATCTGCTCCAGCATAAACTAAATACGGAAGTTCAAATGCATTTTTCATCCTACAGCAGCACCTCAAAGCTGGGAAAACTTGGGAATTGTCCCTTGATTAGAAGTATACCTTTTTACACATCGCTTCATTTGTGAGTTTCAGATGCTGTTCAACCATTCGACACGATCATGGTGAGGCATGTGCTATTGGAGGTAACTGCCAGAGCTACCTGCTCCTACTGCGTGAATATGGGTTTAGAACCAGGATACAGGTGGATGATGGCACCTGTTTCTGGGTTGGTCTACTCTAAGCCATGGTGCAGTATTGGAACTACAGGATATTAAACGTCCTACATGTTATGTCCTTCCAGTGACATTGCTGGTAGGTGAAGAAAATACACTGTGGTTTTATTGAAAGATATCCGGATTCTGCTGCAGAATGAATCGATAAGTCCTGACACTAGCCTTTTTCCTAACATTTATATTAAGAGTCCAAATTTGATCAAAACTGCATTGTCAAAGAAAGCAAAAGCATCAAACGCCAGCAACACAATGAGAAAGAGACAAGTCATGTGGTGAATAGACATCCATATCCACAGTGAATCTGTTTGTTACTACTCAAGGTTTTTACCCCACAAAATTAATACCTTGAAAATTAGAGCTCTTACTGTCAAGAATAAGTCCAGTCTTTCAAGTTATGTGAGGAATTTTGACTCTTACAATAATAAATACTATATCACAAAACCACATTGTAGATTTACTTTGTATTTCTTCAGTGCGAGTGAGATGTTATGTTATTATTGCCAGGTCTTCTTATTTCTTTTTTAAAGCAATTATTGGCTCCATCTGCACAACTTTGTTTGTTCATGTCTCTTATCTGTGATTCTCTTTCTTCATCGTTTGTGTAAGTTTATGTATTGAATTTAAAAACTGTGCCTTTTTCCCCTGAGACCCTGCTGAGTGTGACCTTTCATCTGGTGGACTTGCGTCAAATCAAACAGGAAGGAGTTTCTTTAATCAGATGAGTCAGGTCTCTTAGTTCTCAGAGACCGAATATTCCTAGCTCTAATCACTCAAACTGCAGCCAGTGATGAACTCCTCTGCCTCCCTTAAGTAAGATACTGTAAGTGCCTCCCTTAAGTACTTCTAAGTAAATGCGAGACAATTAACATAACATTTATCAGCGCTAGTTTGTTTAGATAGACAGGTGGGTATTTTAGAAAATGGAGCTGTTGTCACTCTGAAACACAGCAAGACAAACCTGTTGAATAAAGGCTAGAACACCCATCGGAGAGAAAGCTGAAAGCACTCACAAGAAGGAATTGATGTTTCTTGTATTTGTAAGAATATTTTCAAATATGGGTGATCAATGACTGATATTTCTATGAGTACAAAAGACATAACAAACCTTCACACTAATGCAAATCAAATCCTTTTCTACGATCAGGACTTTTAGAGAGTTTGCAACAAATACATTTTGAAACACAGCAGCTGAAATCTCACTTCTCCTTTACTCACCATAGCCTGAGGGCCGGCGGATGGAGGGAAGCAACATGTGAAAGGAAAGAAAACAAGAAGAAAGAAAAGGTTAGAGACAAACAAACAAGGTCCCCTGTGAGAGGATCAGCCACGTTCAACTTGAATCCTGCTATTCAGCGCCTGCAAACAAATCACACAGCGGGTGCTTTTGCGGAAATTCTCTTTTTTTAAACATGTTTCTTTAATGTAGACTACGAATAATCATTTCTGAAGGATCAAATTAGCTGATTGTAACATTTCCAGACGCTCTTGTGATTCAGCCTGCTTGTTAACATTACTTTTCTTTGCTGCTTCCAATGCTGAGGCCAAAGTTAACAGGCAATTAAAGCTGAACCCGAGATGACCGTGAACCTGGGGCCGAGCAGTTGCAAGGAGAAACAAAAACTGACAAGGTACACGCAGTAAATCCTGCAGCATAACGAACCAACACGTGAACATTTTGTTACTAGTTTATGTAACAAAAAAAAAGTGAAATAAGAAAAATGAATGACAAGCGCTCAGCTCCCAGCTGTATGCATCCGTGTTTAGAGTATAGAGTGTATTGAGTTTATGGCAGCGTTTTTCATTTGTAGCTTTTTGTAATTGCAGCTTTTCGTGCAGTGCTTTTATTAAACACTGCGCATGTTTTGTCAAGTTGCTGAAGGTGTTTTTCATTTTTTTTTTGATGTATTTGCATTGTACCTGAAGCTGTCGAAACGATGTGGCTCCACCCATAGTGGTTAGGTAAGACATGTTTATCAATGACACATTTCAATATAGTACCACATTAATATAATGACTTAATGTAGTCATGTTTTTAATATTTCCAGGTAAAGTATATGTATGTAAGTAATTAGTGACTTAAAACATATTTTGGTTATGCTTACACATTAAACTAATCTCAATAAAATGTTTAGACTTATCATTCATTTTGTAAACCAATGACCTTTAAATTGAAATGTACAATGTGTGAATTAATACGTCTATAAATCCTCAATATAGGGATTTATTGTTTTTGTAGTTTATTTAGGGTTTAGGTGATAACTGTATTGCTTGTACTGTTTTTTTTTCTTTCTCTCAGTCATTTAAAAATATTTATAATTTGGTCACATTTATCAAAAAAAGTCTGTAAACAAATATTAAGTGATATGTACTCACCAGTTCACTAACAAGGGGAATGGGCCTCCTCTTGCGGAGGTCTGGCATACTGTCAATGCCAAACGGTGTGTTTCCCCTGAACACACGCACAAAAACACACGCAAATACACACATCAGAACGTAAATGAAGAAAATGAAGTTGCAAACACTGAATCATGTTATTAAGTTCTCTTTTTCAGACACACAAATAGACAACAAAAACATGTGCTACTGACCCTGGCTTGGCCCATGCGTGCTTGTTGGGGTCACCATCTTGATCTCGGCTCTGCAATAGAATGTCAAAGGTCACTGATTTAGTCATTTGAAGGCTGACCACCTTTATTGATTTTTATAATTTCATGACACTGGAGCATGCACAAGAACAGGAGACACGAGAAAGTGAGATGAAAAAACAACAGGAGAGAAACACTGGGACTGCACTGGGTTGGTTGAGTTTCAGTATGACATGCCAACAAGGCCCTTTCAATCAATCATATTTCCCCCAATACATAAATGAACATCATAAATCTGGTTTCACCTTGTAAAGTAAACACATAGCAAACAACACATGCTCCCAGTAAAAGCACACTTAATATTGACTTTGGGATCCTAACAGATGCTTTTCTTTGGTCTGACAGCTATTAAAGAAAATACAATAGTGACATCAATATTATTTTTCATCAACATGCGTCGTAATCAATACTAACCTTTTCCTGCATGGCATTTTTATGCTTATGACAGGAAGAAGATTTACTCAATAGTACACAGATGTATTGAGGGTGCCTCGTTAAACCTATATCTATTTCATTAGCTTTAAAATGACACATGGTATTTTCAGGACCAAATGAGCATTTAACAGAAATTGAAAGAAAACAATTTGAAAAAAAACGATTGAACTAAGAGACAAGTGGAAATGTCCAATATATAAAGATAATTGAACAGAACGAACAACGTTCTTTATGCTGTCATGTAAAAATTGTTAACGTGAGAGAAACCATGAAAGAGGTAACCTGATCTCCTTCTTGACTTCCATCTGTAAAACAGAACAAGAAAGAAAAAAAAGATCGGACAGAAAAAGAAAAACAGTCATGGAACAGTTTGACTCATCATATGAAACAGGATGCTGATATAACAAGATAATCTGTATGATTCATTATGATATAAATGTGCTGGTAATGTTTAAAGCAGCTGAGCCTCTGAGTTTACAGATAGAAGGGGGTGTTAAGTCATAAAATGTTTCATTAACATGTATAATTTATCATGAAAATGACTCTTAATATATCCTTTCTCCTTCGTCCTTTATGTCATGTGAGCTTTCCAAGGAGATAATTGATGTTTTCTAATTCAGCAAATGGCTACTGCTGGAGCCTCTAAGAAGAATAAGGGACCAGTGAGTGGCAGGTGATACATTAGTCCCAAGAGGGGAGAATAATTATAGTATCAGCAGAGACCATTTGGTGCAGTAAATAGTTAAGGGACTTTCAAGTGCTGGATCTTATTCATAACAGCTGTGAACGTATTACTCAAACAGGATACTGACGGTTATATACAGATCAAAGAGATTCTGCAACATTTAGAGGCTCTGATAAGCAAAAGCCAGGGTTGAAAGGATCAAAAAGAAGCCACTACCTCTACGATCACTAAAAGTGATATAATCATTTCAACATGAGTCACTCAAATACATTGAAATATCTAAATAACATCATGCTCTTTTATCTTGCGCGATGATTAAAACATGAATAGTTGGAATAACAAAGAATGATGTACTGTTAGTGTACCTATCCAACCAAAACTAATAGATGGCTTATTTACTGGTAAAACAGAAGATGTTCCCAACTTAAAATCTAGCGATGACTACCTGGTTCGTAATCCTCCTGGGAGAAGGTCATAGTCATACTGGCAAGGCTGCGCCGGGTCTCCCTCTTCTCCCGGAGAATCTGCTGGAAGGTCCTCAGGCACTTCAGCCTGCGCTCATCCATCTGGCTTATCTCCACATCTGCTGCATCACCTTCTGCTTCACCTTCTGGGGCTACATTGTCTGTGGCTGGATGCTGTGGCAGTGGCACTTCAAATTCGCCCTGTTCCTCTAGTGTTGCTGGTTCATCAGCCGAAAAAGAGATCGAGAGGGATTCTGTAGTGGTGCATTGCGAAAGCTGGGTTTTAAGGGTCTGATCTGCAGGACCTTCAGCAGGTTGTTTTATAAGGCCATGAGGTGGAGGCAGTATTGAGGTGCTACTGGAATATGGGTCAGGGCAGACTGAAAGTTCATCTGGGAATGGAGGGATCTTGTCCGAAAAAGAAGGGTGTTGACAGGTGTCTATAAGGCTGTTCTTGGCTTCTTCCATCATTGGCTCCACAGAGAACATATCTGATTTGTCTAGAGTTTTGTATTTGCTCAATTCCCCTACAGCACAACTATTAACCAAATCACCTCTCAAGGTTTTGTTGCATGTTTGTTCAAATTGTGCCTCATAGACTAAAGGTTTTAAAGACAGGTCAGCTGTAGGCAGGTCAGTAGTCGTAGATATTTCATAGTCTACTTCCTCTCCATCATTCTGGGCACCAGGTACTTCAACTTTGCGCAATGCTCCCCGCAAGGCAGAGCTAAAATCCAGCACAGCTCGGCTTATGCGCTTGACATTGAAACCACCAGCTTGAACATCTGCACTGCCAGAGTGAGACACTTGGTGTTCTAAGCTTTGGTTGTTGGCTCCAGTTTCTTGAATAAAATCCCTATCCACATCAGCCACAGTGGTACATAAGGATGCCTCAGTCCATGTCACTACTGAAGAATCTTCGTATGCTGAATACGTTTCCTCATAACTATCTACATGACTGTCTGTCGTATAGTTCGGGTCATTTAATTGCCCATAGTTAAACTCCTCTCCTTCTCCATCGTGTCCATCAACTGAATGATAACCAGAACTTTGATGGTAGGAACAATCAGCAGGACATTCATATCCCGCAGTGGGCTTTACAAGGTCTGTTTCTGTTGGAACAGTGATGGCAGAAATGGTTTGAGGCCTTTTCCTCCGTGACCGCCACTCATCCCTGCTAGAAGAACTAGCTGGTGAGTTGTAATGTTTACCAGATCGAAGAGAGAGATGCTCTGCACCTCTGTAGTGATCCCAGCCACCAGCTCCTTCACAGCAAAGAGGGCTCTCACCTTCATGGCCCTCTCGACATCTGTCTCTGCGGTAAGCAGTTTCCCTATGCCACACGGATTCCCCAGAGACACCATATGGTGGTCCCTTGTTAGGCCAATGTTCCTCGCTGTCACCTGCTCTTTGCTGTTTCGTACCATGACTAGAGGATGGTCTCTCTAGGTCTGACTCACTATGACCAGAAGACAAGGAGCTGGTACTTTGACAATCATGACCATCCTGCCTTTCGACGTAGCCAAAGCTGAGCTTTCTTGCTATGGCACCTACTGGGATATCGGAGCTGTGGTCAGAGGTATCTTCTGGTTCTTCCAGATCCCGTTGATCCACTGATTCAGCAATTGGTGACACACTAGACTCTTCAGGCCTTGATAACAGCAATTCTCCATGGATGCTATGGCGCTCATGGCCGATCTGGGGGAATTGATTTGAAGCAGACTTTGGCATTGCACTCCCTAAACTTCCATAAGCACTGGCAGGCCTTCTTCGGGTGGATGGTCCATCTTTGCATCCCACCCCCGACCAGGTACCTGAATGAACCCCTGAACCAGCCTTGTTAGAACGAATACCCTCAATCTCCATCAAGACAGCATCTACACAAGATGACACTTCCTCAACTGACCCTCGAACTGAGGTCAGATAATCCCTGAGGTCAGAGATTTCCTCTTGTATCTTGTTGATCCCCCTTAGCTCTTTAAGAATGTGCTCAATGATAGCACTTGAGTCCTCCTCTTTATCTTCGTCCTCTTCCAGCAGTGCGCCTGGCAGAGCTCTGTTGAAGTTGTAGTCCACACAGTCACCAGTAGAAAAAGGTCTCTTTGGGCGAATACGGGGTGAAGTAAATTCCATTCTGGCTGCCCCTGCTAATTTAGTTCCATTCATGTCTGGTTCTATCGGACAGTAGAGTGGACATGTTTGCATTTGCTCAGGAGCTACTCGAATTTCACCCTCAAAGGAGATTCGTTTCCGATTTCCTGGAGATCTGCTGCTTTTTTGCTGCAAAGTGCAAGGTATTCTTAGACATCCTTCCCTATTAAGCTCCACCTCTCCAACACATGGTGGGCCCACTGCTACTCCATGTCCTTTACCATTTGACAATTTTGGAGAATAAGCTTGAGCCCTCGGGCTAACCTTTGGATATCTGCTTCCGTGCTCCTTTCTGCTCTCCTGTGTTTCCCCCTCTTCCTCCTCAATACCTCCATAATAAAGGTGGGAATCTGGGACATGATGGTCGGCAGAACCTTGCAAGAGACGATGTATTTTACCCCTGATAACTAGTGCTACCTTGGGGTTCGGAGCCCTCTTTTTGGGTGAATGGATTTTTGCCTTTGTGCCTTCTTTTGGGGCAACACCTGCTCCATGCTGTCCATTGAAGCGATTCCTGGAGAACATATTCTCAAGAGCAGACTGGTCTCATCTAGTTTCCCACATTTTTGTAGGTGTTAAAATGTAACTGCTCACGGTATCATAGTTCATTAATCACCTCTGTTGGAAGCTTATTCAGCCAAACCACTCAATGTCAATGGTCCATGACTAAAATGAGAAGACAAAGATAACACACTTGTAAGCATTTATAAAACTGTAACATTATAGTCAGTTAAAGAGAGCAAGAAAAGGAGAAGACATCTGAGGAACGATTTCTATATACATTATTTAGGTGCACAAAAAACTCCCAGCTATTATTGTTTTTTTTTAAGTATAAAGTGAAATAGAATTTTGTCTAAAATACTGAACAGTAGTTCAGTAGTTCAGTTTGTTTCAAAGACATTTCCTCACCTTCCCTAGAAAGCAGAAGTCAATATTATTGAAAATATGAACATATGATTCTCATTCATATTAATCCAAGGAGCATGGAGTATGAGTTTTTGAACATACACATTTGATACGCTGATTGTCAATAATGTGGTAAACAAATATATTGTGCTGTCACTGTATACTGAAACAATAATATTCAGGGTAAATTGTCAGAACAGACAATCTCGGTTGAATCTAATAAGTAAAGGTTCCTGCTGAAAATCTAAAGGATAGTTCAATTGTTAGAATCTACTGTATAGGCTAAAATAAATAACCTTAGTTTTGATTTTGGATGGTTCTTTTATTTCTATATTTATAATGAATTAAAGTA